TCTGGGATTCTGTGTTTCTGCTCCGCAAGGAAACCTCGCTGGCCGTACCCTGACAGCGCTGCCCTGTCGTGTGTCTTTGCCCTTCCCTTTGAGGCTGCATGGCCAACTCGAAGACAGCAGAACACAGCTGATGGGTTTGCTGACCAGCCTGTTCACAAACACATTAACTTTTAACCTTTCTGAAGGATTAATTAAGCTGCAGTCAGCTGCCTAAGCACAGAAACAATTACCAGCAGTTCGGTGCGAGTGATTTTGTTACTGGAAGGCAGAATGTTATGCTGCGGGGTGTGCAGGGCAGGAGCGTTTCTGTGGGGGAGAAAGAACAGCGTGACATTAGCAGCAGATTTCAATTGGCAGCATGCTGCATACTCTGCTGCAGAACAGCGTGCAGAGTGCTCTGAGTTTTCGAGCTCCGGTAATAAAAATATAGTCTAAATTTTTCTTTGTATATCATCTTCTTGGGCACATAAATAATGAGTTATAGAGAGCTTTTAGTGGTTTCTTATGTGTGGTGCAGTAATTATATCCAAGAGAGCACCTCTCTTCCACAGCTGGAAGTGTTTGGTTAGAACACAAAACAGGAAGGAGTTGGTCTTTTTCAAAGAACGACTCTTAATGGGCTGCTAGGTTATCTTTATTTGTCATCTACAAACATTTATTGTCTTCTAATGGCTACAACCTTGCAGTATCTGTTATTCTTACTATAGGAATTCTGGTGGAGGTCGAGTACATGCTATTCTTCCAGAACAAGCAACATCAAGAGAGCTAAACCATTGCTAAGTTACCATGGTTTTTAATACTTTACTAACCCAGATACTTGGTAGCCTTTTTAATTTTAATTTTTAAAAAATGTTATTTTAAAATTGAATGCCTTAGGTGTCTTTCACACTGGATTAAGAAGAGTCATGGAGAGCTTGTTGAAACTTCAGTTATGTCAGCTATTCAGTGGGTGACTTTGTTCATCAGCAGGAACCTTTTCAGATTTTGGGTTAGGAGTGGTGGTCAAGATCTGTGAGCTGTGGTAGCTGGGGCCATGCACTGGATTCTGTTTACATATCCGGAAACAGCAGCAGATAATAAGATTAAAAGGATAATGAGAGAAGTATGAAGTTCATAGTAAGATAAGGACCCTGTGTCTGAGTAGGCCAGCAGTAACAGACGTTTCTATGTGAATGGGCTTTACTGTCACTGTGTAGCTGTGGTTTTGGTGCTTCATTTTGCTGCTGAGAAGGTATTTTAGCTGGCTCTCCACCCAGACTGTGGCTCTCTGGAGATGCTTGTGCTGAAAGGGAGAAGGGCAGGCAGAAAGGGAGTCAGGAGATGCTGCGTGCTTGACCTGTGCAAAAACCAGATGCAGTTACCATCTCCCTGAATTTCAGAACCATATTTGTTCCAGCGTTTCACTTTTCTTGTCCAAAAGGCTGTGAGTTGTTCTAAAATACCCGGATGAATTCCACTCTTCCAAGAACTGATCGTTTTTAGTGTGATGTATTGCCAAAATGTCACATCACTTTCTAGCTTTTTTTTTCTCCTGACTGCTTATCCGTTCATTCCTGGCTTTATATCAATGGGAAAACCGTTTTGCTGGGAATAAACTAGTCAAAAAAAAGTATGTGTGGAATTTCTTGCTATGTTGAGCACCAGACTGTTTGAGGTGGTAGTCTGATGAAGAGAAATGCTGGGCAGACTGGTACCAGCTGCTGCTAAATGGAGCTGGAGGAAGTGAACCTGCTCAGTTTTCTTCCTCCTAATTTACTTCAAATAGGCAGTGACAGCTTAACCTTGCTTAAAAGCTTTAGTTTAAGTCTTGTTTGCTTAGCATCTCCTTTAGGGATGGATTCTGGAGGGGGACAAAAGCATCCAAACCAGAGGAAGTGTTGCAGTGAATGGTGCTGAGCTGTGTCTGCAGTGAGGAATGACTGATGTCTGGAGCCTGGCTGCCTTGCAGATGGGGTTGCTGAGGAAGATAAATTATCTTTAACACCACTTACAAATGTTTGCACTGATTCTCTTTTGGAAAGTCGGCTCCTGAAGCTGGTAGGAGGTGGCTGCTTAAAAAGGGTTCACCCCAGGATGGACTCAGTGCAGCCTTTTCAGGTTTGGGATTGTGATGATCCCTTTAAAGGCTGCGTTCTGACTTTCTGGAGGCTTTTTGCGGAGGCACCGATGGATATGTTGAGCAAAGCTTGTTAAGTCATTTCCAAGACACCCGGGAGCCTCTTCTGTGCTGCCGCTTTTAGCATCTCAACGTGGCGATTGCTCAGTAGCCCCAAGCAAAGTTGGTGAAGTAGAAACAAATGAACAGGTCAAAGATAAGCAGAAGCAGCATATGAAAGGGTAATTCCAGCAGTTCCCAGTTTCTTCCCTGTTGCTTTACTGGAGATAGAGGAAAAAATAAGCAATGGAAACGATTTATTTTATTCTTGCTCCCAAAAGTTAATTTATTTTTTTTCCTATAGAGTTGCATTTGCCGATCCTGCATCGCTATCCCCGGAGCAGCAAAGGCGCTTTTTTTTTAATTTAAAGGCGTCTCTTTAATTTGTTTTTAATGACCTTATGCTAAAGAACCCTGCAGGGGGTTGATGGCGAGGGCTGCATACCCACAGCCGTGTTGATATTCAGCTCTTGCACTGGTTAAACGCTGTACCGCATTCCTTTAAAAGCAAATCTCATCATATAAGACGGATCTGTCAGCGTAAAAGCAGCCCTGCTGATGAACTACTTATGAGCTGCTTCATGCTGTGTGGTGCAGGGCTCTTGCCTGTGCACACACAATTACCTTGGATCAATTAATACCTGGGAACTTGATCTGGTAAGAAACCACAGCGTGTGGCCCTGTTCCTCCTCACGTTAATCCTGGTGTTGAACCTTGTCTGTGCTGTCAAGTCCCATTATGTGGAAACCCATGTGGGGTTTTTTGGTGTGCAGTGTGAGAATGGATTTCACTTGTACCCTTTGCTAGTAACAGATTGAAAAAATAATAAAAAAATATATATATACACATGCACACACACACGCATATATATGTGTATATATATATAAGCAGATGTCTTACAGGGGAGTAAATGTCCATGTTAAACCAGTAGCAGAATAATCCTATTGGCCTAAACGCAGTGCTTTGAATTTTGGAGTGCAATGGGCTGAGCAGGATGAGTTCTGGCTTCTGAGCATCTGAGGCTCAGATGCAAATCTGTCTCTGCTTTCATTCTGAGCCTCTAACACACAAGAAGTTGAAGCTCTGACCAGCCACCTAAAAGAACAAGTATTTCCGAGGTGGAATTGCCACCTCATCATACAGCTTGGGCTTTATATAGACATATTTTAACTTATTTTAACTGATGTAAGCACTGAACTTGAAACTGGTTTTGCCAGATCAATCATGTTACAGGTCTGCTATGAATTCCTGCTCTGAACCTGTGTATGTCAGTTGTACTGATGGATTGAAATCCCTGTACGTAAGGCATAGCAAAACTAAGTTTATGGGGGTTTTCTGGGTATAAAAAAAGGGGGGGAACATGTTCCATTGTCTCCTTGCTTTGTAAATCGTTACTGGTGGGCAGCTTTGTTATAATCCCCCGCTGAAGGCTGCTACAGAAAATACTGGAAATTGCTATAATTGGAAAAGTCTTAATAATTATCCTACTTTTTTCTTGTTGACATTCTTTTGTTTCTTGTTGCAGCCATGCACCATGTGAGTTTTTTGTAGTGATAGATAAATGTGACTTATTCTAAAGACCCACGCATTTTTTGGCACAGGATGTAGTGACTTGGGCATCAGAGAAACGTATCGTGCCCATGAAACTCTGTTAAACCCTTACTGACCGGTCCAGTTTGGGTAAACAGCTTTAAAAAGGAGTCCTTCAGGAGCAGTTTTCATGGCCAGGAAGCTTGGTGTTCTGTAGTGAGCAAAAGCCGGTGGTTTTTACTGGGTTAAACTGTAATTTGCAGTGTTTGACCGTGTATTTAATGCCTGTGAAGAAAGTGCATGGATGGCCCAAGTATTAGGAATGTGAAAACATGCAGTAATGCAGCCCTGATTTCTGTGAAAGAAATCATATTTCAGTACCTCTTTTTCCTCCCTTTTCTTGCCCCATAGGAGCTCAAGTTGCCTGTGTATAAGGCTCACTCCCCGCAGATTGGGATGCGCCGATACCTCATTGAGCTCCTGACTGTCCTCGGCAACCACTGCAACCTCTGCCCCACGGCCTGGCATCTCGCTGTCTATTTATTGGACCTCTTTATGGACCGCTACGATATCGCCGTCAAGCAGCTGCACGTCGTTGCACTCGCCTGTCTTCTCCTAGCAAGTAAGTTGGCTGCTGCTAGGCTTTAAATAGACTTCTGCCTATTTAAAATTAAAAAAAAAGGGAATTTGCTTAAAATTGCAAGCCTGAGTCTAGTGAGCTAATGAGTCTTGATAGAAACTAAGATTAGAGCAATGTAGCAGCATTCATACATCCTGATCAGGAATCGAATCACGTCCCTTACAGGAAGGGGAAGGCTTTCCTACCAACGTGTAGAAACAAAACATTGACAGTTGAACCAAAGCAGATTTGCACAAAGTTAACGCCTAATTAATTTGTATAGATAAAGTTTGAAATGCTAGGGTTCAGTTTGGAGACTGTTGGGAGCATAGCAGTTCTGTTGTTTACTGTCTGGGCCATCTTAATGTGCAATAAAGATGCTATTTTTTGGTGGTGGTAGTTGAAAGTGATGCAGGGCAGGTCAGGAAAAGCCACCTTTGCTTTTTTCCTTCAGTATTAGATCTTCCTTTGCCGTATTTTCCCCATACTGCTTGCTTTCTTCACACTGCTTCCAGTTACTGTCAGAAAAACTCTGTAATCCTAATGAGTTTATAACCTTGGTTTTGGCATCAGTGCTATGCAACCAATTAAAACCAAAGAAAGCCATAAAAAGGATATAGGAACATGCTGTCCAGTCTGTTGGCTTCTTTCCTACTTGTGTCACTGTACTTTCCCATCCTTCTTTCAAAAGCACCTTTTATCATTAGATTTTCTGGTTTGGGGAGCATTCTTTGTTGAATCCTGAGGATAAATCCTAAGGATAAATCATCTCTGAAAACCGTGTCTGCTGGCAGGTAAGTTCGAAGAGAAAGAAGATAAAGTTCCCAAGTTGGAGCAGTTAAATAATCTGGCCTACATGTGCAATGTGAACGTGGTATTGGACAAGAAAGACTTGCTCAGGATGGAAATGCTGCTGTTGGACAACTTCAGCTGGAATCTCTGCCTGCCAACACCGGCGCACTACGTTGACTACTACCTCTGCGTGGCCGTTGCTGAGAGCGACCTCCACAAGGGCTGGCCGGTCACCTTGCTGCCCAGAATGAGAGCTTTTCTGGAGAAATACGTCTATTACTTCCTCAATTTCTCGGTGCAAGGTAAGGGGCTTAGTTTTATGCTAGAATGAACTCCCCTTTGGCAAAAATCTGAGAGATAAGGGCTTTAAAACCTGTTGTCATATCACAGAATCACAGAATCCCAGACCGTTAAGGATTGGAAGGGACCTCCAAAGCTCATCCAGTCCAATCCCCCTGCCGGAGCAGGAACACCCAGATGAGGTTACACAGGAAGGCGTCCAGGCGGGTTTTGAATGTCTGCAGAGAAGGAGACTCCACAACCTCTCTGGGCAGCCTGGGCCAGGGCTCTGTCACCCTCACTGAGAAGAAGTTTCTTCTCCAATTGAAGTGGAACCTCCTGTGTCCAGTTTGTGTCCGTTACCCCTTGTCCTATCATTGTTTGTCACCGAGAAGAGCCTGGCTCCATCCTCGTGACACTCACCCTTTAAATATTTATAAACATGAATGAGGTCTCCCCTCAGTCTCCTCTTCTGCAAACTAAAGAGCCCCAGCTCCCTCAGCCGCTCCTCAGAAGGGAGATGCTCCACTCCCTTGATCATCTTTGTAGCCCTACGCTGGACTCTCTCCAGCAGTTCCTGTCCTTCTTGAACTGAGGGGCCCAGAACTGGACACAATATTCCAGATGCGGTCTCACCAGGGCAGAGAAATGAACTGAATGAAATTATCTGTGCAGAATGGTTTCTCTTTGCAGTTGTTTCAGATGGCAAATGGGTAAAGTGTCCCTTCCTTGTCTCTTTAGAAATCTCTAGATAAGATAATACTTTTCTCCAGCTCAGGACAGTAATTGGTGAGACTGTCAGAAATGGTGTCTAATTTCTGACCTGCCACAGAGTATGAGCTGCTTTCAGTTGCAGACATGTTGATATGCAGTTCAATGTGTGGATCCTCTTCTAATGTTAATTTTAGAGGGTCCTGTGCTGCAGGACATGACACATTTAGAATGACGGGCTTTTAATGACTGGGTTTGCAGCATCACTTGCAGTATTTGCTCATGTGAGAGGCAGTGAACTGCAGCATCCGCATAACCGGGATTCAGTGCCGTGTGTAATTGTCAGTACCTAACTTTGGTTCAATTGAAACCAGTATAAATTTCAGTGTAGTCTATTTTGTGGCTTTTTCTGAAGTGAAAGAAGCCCTAATAGTAGTTATGAACAAATAGTGCAGAGCTTCAGGAAAGCTTCACCCAGTTCTGAGAGACTTTTTTCTGGTCATGAGTTAATACTCTTGAGATGTGTGCAACGCAGTTGTGGATTTAATTTTGCCCTGTTTTGCCATGTACACACATTGCAGTGATTAGCAAGAGTATAAATTACTGCTCTAGTGTTTCAATTTTGTAGATCACGCTTTCCTCCGCTTCCGTCCGTCTCTGGTCGCTGCAGCGTGCGTGTGTGCCTCCCGTATCTGTGTGCAGCTTTCTCCTGCCTGGACCACGCAGCTTGAGCTGCTGACGCGGTATTCCTGGGAGCACCTCGCCCAATGCATTGAAATGATGCTCAGGTAAGATCAGAAACTAACCTGTTTGTGCTCTTGGGAAGTTGTTAATACTCTAAGTAATTGTTTAACTAGAATGAAGCTAGCACATCATTACATTAGTAATCTCCATCTACAGTTTGGGGAGAGGAATAAAAGGGGGAAAAAAGTCCCTTTAAATACTGTATTTTAACAATATCTGCACTGCAGAATGGAGCGTCCAATTTAGTGTTCATTCTGTTCTCTTGTACTGGTTTTCTGCGGGATTGAGTGGAAGCTTCTACAGGTGGTTGTTGGAAGCTTTTTTCCCTCTTTCTCATTGTACCTGCAATTTACTTACTGCAAAGAGACACCAGTATATCTCCCACATCAAGAATACAGAAGGGAGACACTTGGGAACTACTCCTTGGCTTTTCTCCACTAAAGGACATCAGTGCAATGTGTTAATACTGGTCTGGTGTGTGAGCACATACAGTCTTAACAGAGAAAGCTTCTTCCTAGTATCTACCAGGAATTTGCCTTTTTCCCTTACAGCTACGTACTTTAATACTCTGCAGATCCTTACAGACTTTCAGTATGTTTTTGTGCTGTGGACTTAAGGTCCCAAGATAACCAGTCCATCAGTAAAAACATACTTGTGATGCAAAATGATCCATAAACCTGTTGTGAGGATCACAGCAGGATAATTAGGAATTAATGGTGAAAGCAGCTGAGGATTACCATATACAGCTAGGGCTAAAGAGAGGGTGATGTAGCCTGACTGGTGAAATCTTCAAGATATATGCAAGCTCTGAACTTTTATGATAAATCTTACTTATGATTTGTTTCAGATACTATGAGAATGACATCAAAGAAGCCAGTAACCTAAAAAAGCAAGTTACAATTCATCAAGAGCAGGAAGCAGTGGGGAATCTGAGCCATCAAGCCACCACTCAAGTTCTCTTCCAGCAACCTGGTTACCACCCCTTAGCCCAGCATACAGCCACGTTTTCCCAGTTCCAGTCGCCGGTGCAAGATCTGTGCTGTGCTTATCGTGAGTCCTTGCAGGCCCACAGGCTTGCGGGGAGCGCTGACCGCTCGTCCGCAGCTCTCCAGGCTAGCCTTCGGCCCTCTGCACAGCCACTGCCCATCCAAACACCCCTCGCCCTGCAGGTGACACTGGGGACAGAGCCCAGACACTGCATTTCCACCATGTATGGCAGTAGTTACTTCAGTGGTCAGCACTCGTATGCAGCTGGGTGTTCTGATGGGTAGATACTGATGGGAGGAAAAGGCGATGTGAATAAAGCTGGAAAAGAGACCCTGTGTGTGAGACAAGAAGTGTCTGAGTGAAAGCTGTGAAGAAACAGAATCCTGATGACTTCCTCATTCAGAGAACATTGATCTGGATCCACTGATCACTGAAACCTGTGTGCCTTTCTGCCAAGGGTTGTACCTTGGCTCTTAACGAGAGAGAAATTCATTAATATACCTCGCTCAGTGTGACTTTGAGAGTTATCTGCGTAGAAAACTTGTGGAGATGACGTCCTTTTTTTTATTCTTCAGTTTGTGACTCGTCAGAGTTGGCTGCAAGCTTGTGCTGAAGAGTTACTTCAGGTTGGAGTGGTTGAATTTCTGGCCAAGTAGCAATGTACCTAGAGGATGCTGTTGGAGAACGTGGAGTGGTCTCCTTCTCGCATGTGGCTGGAGCAGTGGCAGCTTGAACTACTGGAAGTAAGACCTTAGAATAAAGGGAAAGGAAGAAAAACGGGCCAGAAGACTATCAAATAATTTTGGACTTAATTCTCTTGGAATCTAAACGTGATGCTGCTGAATGGAACATCACTCTGCCTTTGAGTATTTTAGAAACACAAGCAAAACCTTCATCTCTTACATCACTGAAATGCTGCTGCTTTAGAGACTGGAGATTACTGTTAGATTTTTTTTTTTCATGAGCTGTATCAGGGATTTAATGTTACTTGAAGAAATCCTCTTGGAAAAACTCTTGCAATGTTCACTGCCTGCAGTTATTTCATCCTTTGGGCTCTATGAATTGTGGCAGTAGTTCAGGCTCAAGACAGTAGCTGGTGTTAACTGGGGGTGAAGATAGGGAACTGGTTAACATTGGTGTGACATGGGTTTGATTGCAGTGCTAGCCGATGCTGATTGAGGTATTCAAATCCCATCCTCTTGGAAAAGGCAGCTGGTGAATTGAAGATCCTGTTGCTGCTTTGCAATGAGATGCCCACCTCATGTCACATACCCAAAGGTTTCTTTCCCAGCTGAAACCAGGGCTGGTTGTTCAAAACACTGTCAATATTCACAAGAAATGGACTTCTGCAGGTGTGAAACTTTATTTCTGATGTATGCAACCACTGTTGTGAGCTTGGGTGAAGGCAGTGCTCTTGGATTGCCTTTGCTCTGAAGGTTCTCAGGACAAAAAGACAATGTGCAATATGCTTTTACGGACTGGGGGCAATGTTTTCAAGTCGTGTCACAGTGCTGTTTTAAATTATATTTTTAGAGAATCGTTTTTAAAGGTGTTCTAAGGTGGAGGGGAAATAACTGGCCTGCATGCTAGTGCGTGTTTTTGTGACTGTCTCCTAAGAAAGCAACTTCTGGTATCGAGTTGTTAACGTCTTCCACTCAGTAGGCTAGAAGGATCTTCTTGTTTTATTAAAAAATATACATAAAAATGCAAGCTGTTAACAAAGAGGCAATACTCTTCAGAAATTAGTCTAGAAGATTAGAGGACTTAGTTCACCTTTTTATTCTCTTGGCTTTATATTTATATTAAACTTTATTTTCAGAAAACTTTAATGTATTTTTTTAATTGTTCCTTATGTCTGTCAAATAACATCTATGTGGCAGTACTGTCGTGTGGGTTTTCTTTGGGTTTTATCATCTTTAAACTTTGTCGTGTGCGGTGTTATACTTGGGACCACCATTGTGCTCAATTGTGGAAATGGTTGCTCAGTTCCCGATGAAGTTTTCAATAAACAAGCACATGGCTGCATTTTGATTTTCTGAGTATTTGTCAGAGGTTTAGGAATGGGGTGAGCGTTTATGTTGAGGATAAAATTACCCT